GGAAAATGAAAATTTTAGATTTTTTTAGTACTGAGCAAATGGAAGTTGAGCTCGCATGATACGTCATAGAGTTGCCAATTTGTGTTTGATTGATCACAACTTCAAAAATCCTAACTTCCTTATTTTTAATCGGAATTTGCTCAAACTTTCACTGACTTGTTTCTCTCATTTTTCTACTCCTATTAAAACTAACTTAATTTCAGGGTGGACTTCCCCTTTAATGTCTGAGAAATTGTCATGTGGCAGCATGTGAATCTAATTATTCGCTGGAATTATGAGGTCGCACCATAGAGATATATCATAGAGATACTACTAATATTAAGTATATATCTCTATGAGATATATAGATCTCTGTGGGTCGCACGCATCATCGCCATGCGGTCGTACTAATGCATATGCATGATTTGTATTACCATATGAATAGCGCATCGTACACGTTATGCATCCTGAGCGGCTCGCTGTCTCGGCGCTGTGCGTGCGTCATATAGTGCGTAAAACGGTCGCTCATTCGACCATTCACTTGTGTTGTATTCAAAACCATACGCTGTATGCAAGATTTGTGGACGAATATCAATCATTCAAAATAATTTGTACATGTATTAGATAAAAATGTAAATTTGTGGTGTCAAGTATATATTTTGTACTAAGATTGCTTGGGATAATTAGGATAACATGATGAAACAGTTCCAATGATAAAATAAGATATCATCATAGCGGCTTATTGTTAAGACTAATTTCCGTACGTGCTCCAGTATGTAAAACGTGTTGTAAACTGTTTGATAGACGTTCCTGTCTCTTACAATTATTAAGAAACTTTTCTAAAAAACAGATGAATGAATGATTTATTTAATTTCAACTGTTTGTCAAACGATTCATTTTAAAATCTACTTTTGGATAGATCACGATGAATTGTCGGTATTTTCCTTCATTTTACGCCACGTGGACGTAAGTGGAGCGCATTTTGGTTATTCCTGTTTTTCTCCAACTGGAACTAAAAAGATACACTTTTTTCATGTGTTGTCCGGTAAATTTACCTGTCGTTATCGCTTCTCGGCCTTTTGGCTAAGATCATGTGTAGTATCTGTTCTTTTCAGCTTAATATCTGAAACGCGACTCACCGAGTCGCTTGTATATTAAACTGATTTTTGAATCTAGACCATGGAATAGGGGCTTGCTCCATCCTGGTCACGGGTTGGCCCGGTATTGCAGTACCTCCGGGATCGGCCCACCCCTCAGGGGGTAATAATAAACCAAAGAAAGAATCCCTTTCCCTAAGCCTCGTACATCTCCACCCTTCTCTCCTCGGCCCCATTCCCTCTTTATTAACGTCCTAACATAGTAGTTATACTTTTTCACACTATTTTGTCTTCTTCTTTTTTTCTTTCTTTCTCCACCATGCCACCTCTCCCTTATTTAAGGAAACCTAACCCCAAAGGTAACTTTAGTTTTTCTGAGAGATATATTGCATTTTTGCCCATCAATATACAAGATTCTCCACCAAAGTGTGTGAGAAAGGCATAAAGCAAGAATAAAGTAAAGTTTCTCAGCCATTTTTTTGATTGCATGACGTACTATTATTATGCGGACTCGTTTATCAACTGTATGGATGCTTTCTTCCCAGGTGTTTGTGATATTGAAGCATTCCATTCACCTGTTAGTATCCTTTGTACTCCAATTGCAAGAACGCAAATTGCATACATAAGGTGGTGCTGTTCTGGGGTGAAGGTTTCACATAAATAAACCAGATTTTTCAACTGGTATGTTTTAGAATTTTTAAATAAATGAGTGATGTTATGTATATAGAACAACATGATAGATATGCCTGCTGTACAATGCACATAACAATTTAATACACATACCAGCCAGTGACATTAGGACAATAGATGGATACCTGAATAGCATGTCGTAACCACTATAGGAAGAATGTCACTGATGTGAACTTCCAAGCAACTTCACTACTAGCAGCCAAGTAGAAAGGACACTCCCTTAAAATCTCAGGTAAATCACCCATGTTATAGTGTATCAGAGATACAACAGTGGCGACGAGAATAATTGGACTCCATTATGAATCAGCAGATGACTCGTGAGGAGGATTCTCGCAAATATCTGACGATCAACCCCCCCCCCCCCCTGCGTGTTCCCAAACTCTCCGGGTCGTAACAAAGGAAAAAGGTCTACCCGTATTGACTTTACACACCGGACTTTTGCTGAAGGGGGGGGGGGGTGTGCTGGGAAGACGCATAAATTATGCGTACCCTAAATAACACTGAGTGGGGGGGGGGGGCGACCAACACTCATCGAGGGCTTTAAAAGTATACTCGACATCCTTTTGGAGTGCCTATTTTCCAAGCTGCCATGGACCAAGTTCTACAGGGTCTTGAGGGAGGAGTATTATGCTTTCTGGGTGATATGCTCATTTCAGGGAAGACAGAGCCTTTTGGCTAAATCATCAAGGAAACGGTTAGCAGGATGCAGCCTACTCAACGAAGGTGTAGCGTTCTATAGTGGTTTTGATGGAGGAAAAGGCCAATATTTTCGAGGTCTTGAAGGGGAACGGTATCCAGCCGGCGGAGCATCTGACCAGGGACATGCTATCTGACGGCGGTACAAGGTTTGCCTGGCAGCAAGTATGATGTGACGTTCAAGGGAGTAGAGGCCAAGGACAGGTTCATGCCAGTACTGCAGAAGGAGCAACCGGTCATCGCTACCGCCTATTGCTGTTGATGTTATTTTATTACAAGAAACATATTTATATTTATCTGATTTCCAAACGTTCAAATCTCTTTGGAATGGACCTGTGTTCTTTTCTTCAGCTTTTTCGGAGTCTCAATTACTTTTTCTCCTGAGTTTGGGCCAAATAAAAAAAAAAACATGTTAGCGTCTTGTTTTTTTGAAAAATAGAAAGGAGGAGGCCCTTTTTTTTCTTTCTTTTCTTTCTTTCAAAATAGCCGCCCAAAATTGCCGCTCGGTACATTTCCCCTGTCAATCGGGCTATTTTTCAAGATGGCCGCCGACATTTTTTGTTTGTTTTTTAAATCAGAAATAGATCCATTTTAGCAGTGTTTTTAATGCTTTTTTTCTTTAAAAAAAAAATAGGAGGCGGCCCCCATAAAGGAAGCGGGCGGGGACGCTAAACATGCATATTTTTTACATGGCCTAACATGTTCATTTTCTCAGGTGAGGTCCGACTCTGAAGGACGCTCAGTCTCAGTTTTATGTTCATTTCCAGAATTTTCTGTTCGTATATGTAATATAAATATTTATGCACCGTGTAATCCGAGAAAACGTATTTTGTTCTTCAATAATTGAGTATAAGTGACGAGGGCATGGGTGTCGATCCTTACGTAATACCTATTCATCAGGGGGGGGTGAATGAATAGATCATCCCCCCCCCCCCTGATGAATAGGTATCAGTTACGGATCGACACCCATGGACGAGGGGAAATACAACGGTAATTTTAGGAGGAGATTTTAACTGCGTGACACACATTTGACACAGATCGGTCCAGTGATTCGCAGAATACATCCTGTTTTGATGGACGTAGGGTGTTTTGTGCTGTTATACAGTCTCTTTTGTTGGTGGACTCTTGGTTGAGAGTCAACTCGGTAGAGTTTACAATGGTCACACATGGTTTCATGCCGGGAAGGATCAGAGTTCGAGACTGGATAGGATTTATGTACATGAAGGTTTCAGCATAATTAAATCGTCAAAAATCGCGTTTCCTTTGTCAGATCACGAAGCTGTTCATACTGTTATTACGGTGCCTCATGAACGATTTGTTTTTATCTTGCGTTTCAATGTTCTCTGTGGCAAACGTTAAAATCGGGGTTTGAGTCGATTGGGGATTGGTGGGAAAATGTTAAAGAGCGTATCAAAGAATTGTGTTTTATACATGGGGTGAGGCGGTCAAGGGATAGACGCCTCCGATTGAAGGATCAAGATTCATGTATTATGGCGGATAAAGCCCAGTTTGCCAACTTTTACCAGCAGAAGAAAAAGGGGAATTTATTCGTTCAAGAGAGAATGTTATAGAGGGTGGAGAAAAACCGGGATACTTTCACAAAATGAACGGGATAATGCGAGACAGAAATATATCAAAGAAATTCGAAATAAAGAAAGGATATTGGAATCAGGAGAAAATGTTAAGTCGGTTTTTCACCAATTTTTCAGTGAATTATATACATGTGATTCTAATGTTGACTTGTCAATTCAAGATGTTTTCTTAAATTCATTTGAGTCACGTTAGTTAGGATTTTTGAAGTTGTGATCAATCAAACACAAATTGGCAACTCTATGACGTATCATGCGAGCTCAACTTCCATTTGCTCAGTACTAAAAAAATCTAAAATTTTCATTTTCCCTCAAGAAAAATTTCAACCATACATGCACCCTAAATATAATAATTGCAAATATGTTTCTATACTCCCCCTGCAAGGAACAAATATATATTCCGTCATCAATAACGAAGAAAACATGGTTTTATGGAATATTATGCACAAAGCAAATGAAGGAGAGCTTGTATAATAAGTCACAGAGTTGCCAATTTGTATTTGATCGATCACAACTTCAATAATTCATAACTTTCTTATTTTCATTCAGAATTTGCTCAAACTTTCACTCACCTGATTTTCTTATTATTCTGCCTCTATCGAAACAAACTTATTTTTGGGGTGGACTTTCCCTTTAATGAGTGAATGAATTTTTTTCAAGATAAATGAGAAAATAACAGACAGAGAGGATAAAGAAGAGGAGAAAAAAAAGAGGAGGAAGAAGATGGAGATGAAGAAGAAAAAGGAATACAAGGAGAAGAAGACGGAGGATAAGAAGAAGAAGCAATAGCATGCAACATCTCTATTAAGTTTACAAGTTTACACATTCATTTACCCTGTATTCCTACCATAACATTTAAACAAAATTATTATTAAAATACCAACTTTTATTGACAACTCTTTTTCTGCAGTATACAAAATTCTGACATTTGTGTTATTTTCACGTTTTCTCAACGTTAGAGATATTAAAATCAGAGAGGGAGGAAGCGGCCAAGATGTATCAGCAAGACCGCCATTCCCTCTTAGAGACCATCGCGTTTGGACGCCGGTGTCAGTGCCCCGCCCAGAGGGCCAAGGACCAGGGAGTAGTCAGCGAGTCCAGACACTCCTTCTCCTCAAGCACCGTTTCCGATGGGGAGGTGGCTAACCATTTCCTCAGGTAAATATCAAATTAAGCAGGGTCCACCGGTCCAGTTTCATTAAACTAATTATCAGATTACAATAACTGTTATGAGCTACTAAAATTGTGGCATTTGATTGGCTGAGAGCACAAATTTGCCGCAGAAATTTAGTATTGGTCATTGATAACAAGTTTTATGAAACAGGGCACAGGGATCTGTTACACAAAGCCTTTTTCAATGACAAATGACAAAAATCATTGACAAATCTGTTGTTAACCAATCAGAAACAAGGATTTCAGTAGCTTATAACAGAGACTGTCAGTCAATATGTCTATAGTCTTTCATTATGTCCTTCGCTCTTGCTCTCCCCCCCCCCCCCCCAGGGGCGTCGCTAGACGTTTTTCAGTGGGGGGGGGGGGGGTGTAGAGGCCAACGATTACCGACAAAAGTAGCCACCAATTACCAACAAAATTAAATTTCCAATATCTACAAAGTCAACCCTATAAACCTGGGGCCGAAGGCTAAATTGTTTTTCCTATGGACTATCTATAGTACTTGCATATGCGCAAAATGGTCATTTTCCTCGACGACATTAATATACGAATTATTTCTTAAATTTAGTCAGCATCATAGCTATATATTTTAATGCAGGCGCGGAGCTAGGATCTTATTTTAGGGAGGGGCGGTAGCAGGCGCGGATCCAGGATTTTCCAATAGGGGGGGCCGGAAATTTGAAAATTGCGCAGACCATTTTTTCAGCTCAACCAATACCAATACCAATACCAATACTGACAAGGTCATATTAGAAGCACGATACCGGTAGAATTTTTGACATTTTCATCGGGGGGGGGGGGGGGGGCTATAGCCTCTTGCCCGGAAAGTAATTTTCTGGTTTCACAATTCGAAATAGTGAGCGAAGCGAGCGAGCAACAATAATTTGTGAAAATGTTATTTATCACCAAAATAAACGAGAAAAGATATCAAAAACTCATATTCGGGCAGCTCGCTGTCCCCCCCCCCCCTCCATTACGCGTGAAGCGCGTAAGCTTTGACCCTTCATTAATTGTTACTAGAGAAGGAAGACGATTTGTTGTACCATTCTCGACTCTTAATCCTTGTCTGAATTCAGTTTCCTCCCGCCCGCGCGAAGCGCGGAAGCTTTGGCTTTTCAAAGCTTTGGCCTTTCATTAATTATTAGAGAAAGAAGAAAATTTGTTGTACCATTCTCGACTCTGTCTTATTACTTGGCTGAATTCAGCCCCCCCCCCCTTCCCGCGCGAAGCACGGAAACTTAGGCTTTTCATAGTCTAATGAAGTTATTAGAGAACGATGATTCGTTGTTCCATTTTCGACCCTTAATCCTTCTCTGAATTAAGTTCCCCCCCCCCCTCCCGCGCGAAGCGCGGAAGCTTTGGCGTTTCATTAAATTATAAGGGAAAGGAGACGATTCTTTGTACTAATCTCGACATTTTATCCTTGTCTGAATTCAAATTTCCCCCGCCCGCGCGTAGCGCGTAAGCTTTGACGGTTTATTAAATTATTAGAGGAAGAAGACGAATCGTTGTACCATTCTCGTCTCTTAATTCTTGTTTGAATGCAGTTTTCCCCCTCCCGCGCGAAGCGCGGAAGCTTTGACGTTTCATTAATTATTAGAGAAAGAAGAAGATTTGTAGTACCATTCTCGACTCTTATTACTTGACGGAATTCAGCCCCCCGCCTCCCGCGCGAAGCACGGAAACTTTGGCCTTTCATAGTTTAATGAAATTATTAGAGAAAGATGATTCGTTGTTCCATTTTCGACTCTTAATCCTTCTCTGAATTGAGTTCCCCCCCCCTTCCGCGCGAACCGCGGAAGCTTTGACGTTTCATTAAATTATTAGAGAAAGAAGACGATTCTTTGTACCATCCTCGACTCTTTATCCTTGTCTGAATTGAGTGCCCCTCCCCCCTCCCGCGCGAAGCGCGGAAGCTTTGACGTTTCGTTAAATTATTAGAGAAAGAAGACGATTCGTAACTCTTAATCCTTGTCTGAATTGAGTTCCCCCCCCCCCCCCTCCCGCGCGAAGCGCGGAAGCTTTGTCGTTTCATTAAATTATAAGGGGAAAGGAGACGATTCTTTGTACCATTCTCGACTCTTAATCCTTGTCTGAATTCAGTTTTTCCCCGCCCGCGCGTAGCGCGTAAGCTTTGACGGTTCATTACATTATTAGAGGAAGACGACTAATCGTTGTACCATTCTCGTCTCTTAATCCTTGTTTGAATTCAGTTTTTCCCCTCCCTCGCGAAGCGCGGAAGCTTTGACGTTTCATTGAATTATTAGAGAAAGAAGATGATTCGTTGTTCCATTCTCGACTCTATAAATCCTTGGCTGAATTCAGTTTTTCCCCGCCCGCGCGTAGCGCGTAAACTTCTGACGTTTTATTAACTTATTAGACAAAGAAGACGATTCGTTTTACCATTCCTTGTCTGATTTCAGTTGCCCCCCTCCCGAGCGAAGCGCGGAAGCTTTGACATTACATTAAATTATTAGAGCCTAAAGAAGACGATTCGTTGTACCGTACTCGACTTGTCAGAATTTTTTTTTTCTTTGTCTGCTCCTTTTTCGTCCTATGTCCTCTTCCTGCCCCTACCGCCCCTGGCTACGCGCCTGCTTTAAAGGGAAAATGAAACAATCATGATTGTGATAGCACACAATTAGGTTAGTAGAAATGAAAGGGAGAAAAGATCTATTACACTAACCATGGATAAATTACGGCCGGGAGCGTCATATCATAGTTTTGTGTTATCGGGCGAGGGCCGGGGCGTAGCAACCAAGCAAGATTTTGCAATGTTGAAATTATGCATTCTAGAAAATTCCGCTATATTTCTTTCTAGCTATATTTCTAAATTTCCTGGGGGACGTGTCTCCCTATCGGGCCCAGGATTGCCGCCCCTGTCCATGATTACTACCAACATGAGTTCAAATACAAACACGAGCGAGTTGGTATGAGCTGAATCCAAATGAAGGGCAAAATAAGAGTAATGAAGCGGCCCAACCGTTAATTTAAAATTTGACTGTTGAGTATATAGCTTCTATTTAAAAGACATCCAAAATATTGTGCCCTTTTCAAATTTCTCACTAAAGAGTGATGACCTTTGTAGCGCAGGGGGCTTTTTTTTCACGTTTAACTTTGAATCCGCGGCTCGAGATTTTATGCGGCCGGCCCGGCCCCCTCTATTCAATAACGTTTGCCAAACCTTCTGGAATGACCCCAAATCTCCCGATTACAGTTCTCCCTTATTCGTCGTTACTGTCACTTTAATAGCGCCATTTCCTTGTCTTTCCCCCTTTCTCACCGAATCCCCCCCCACCCACTTACTATAGGGTACGCACATGTATGTTCCTAGCTCTCTTTGAAAGCACCCCTCTGTCTCCGGTGTAAGTCAGTACGGGCCGGATTTTTGTGTATTACGGGCCGGACCTTGTTGCGTGAAAAGTAACTCTTTATCGGAAATTTTGGGAACACATATTCGGTCCCTCCGACCCCGGAGTGGGAGGGAGGGGGAGGGGGGGGGGGGGGGGTTGGGCTTTCTTCTTTATCTTTTCTTTTCTCTTTTCTCTTCTCTTCCTTTTTCTTTTCCCTTCTCCTTTCTTTTCTTTTCTCCTTTTTTTCTTCTCCTCTTCTCCTTTTTTTTTCTCTTCTTTTCTTCCTCTTTTTTTCGGCCTTTTTTTGCGCCGCCAATAGGGGGGGGGGGCCGCGGCCGTTTCGGCCCCCCTGGATCCGCCACTGCGGTAGTGAGCAAGAGAATCACTTAAAAGCGCGCTCATAAGGGGGTGTGGGTGATGAGCCTCCCGCGCGAAGCGCGAAAGCTTAGACGTTTCCTTAAATTATTAGGAAAAGAAGACGATTAATTTTATTGTACCGTTTTCGACTGGTAATCCTAGGCTGAAAGAAGTTTCCCCCCCCCCCTCCCGCGCGAAGCGCGAAAGCTTTGACGTTTCATTAAATTATTATAAAAAAGAAGACGATTTGCTGTACCATTCTCAACTGTTTATCCTTTTCTGAATTCAGTATTCCCCCCCGCGCAAAGCGCGGAAGCTTTGACGTTTCATTAAATTATGAGAAAAAGCAGACGATTCGGTGTACTGTTCTCGACTCTTAATCCTAATCTGAATGAAGCTTCCCCCTCCCGCGTGGAGCGCGGAAGTTTTGACGTTTCATTAAATTATTAGAGAAAGAAGACAATTAGTCGTACCGTTTTCGACTCTTAATAAGCCCTACTCATCTGAATTCAGTTTCCCCCTCTCGTGCGAAGCGCGAAAGCTTTGACGTTTCCTCATATCATTAGAGAAAGAACACGATTTGTTGTACCGTTTTCGACTTTAAATAAGCCCTATTAATTTTGTCTGAATTCAGTTTCCCCCTCTCGCGCGAAGCGCGGAAGCTTGGACTTTTCCTTACATTATGAGAAAAAGCAGACGATTCGGTGTACTGTTCTCGACTCTTAATCCTAATCTGAATGAAGCTTCCCCCACCCGCGCGAAAGGCGGAAGTTTTGGTTTTATTAAATTATTAGAGAAAGAAGACGATTCGTTGTATCGTTTTCGACTCTTAATAAGCCCTATTCATCTGAATTCAGTTTCCCCCAAGCTTTTACGTTTCCTCATATCATTAGAGAAAGAACACGATTCGTTGTACAGTTTTCGACTTTTAATAAACCCCATTAATTTTGTCTGAATTCAGTTTCCCCCTCTCGCGCGAAGCGCGGAAGCTCTGACGTTTCCTTAAATTATTAGAGAAAGAACACGATTCGTTGTACCGTTTTCGACTCTAAATAAGCCCTATTAATTTTGTCTGAATTCAGTTTCCCCCTCTCGCGCGAAGCGCGGAAGCTTTGACGTTTCCTTAAATTATTAGAGAAAGAAGACGATTCGTCGTACTGTTCTCGACTCGTCTAAATGAAGTTTTCCCCTTCCGGGGTTTCATCACAATATAGAGAAAGGAAGACGATTCCTCATACCGTTTTCGAATCTTATTATTATTAAGCCCTATTCATCTGAATTCAGTTTCCCACTTTCGCGCGAAGCGCGGAAGCTTTGACGTTTCCTTAAATTATTAGAGAAAGAAGACGATTCGTTGTAACGTTTTCGACTTTTAGTAAGCCCTATTCATCTGAATTCAGTTTACCCCTCTCGCGCGAAGCGCGAAAGCTTTGATGTTTCCTCAAATTATTAGAGAAAGAACACGATTCGTTGTACCGTTTTTGACTCTAAATGAGCCCTATTAATTTTGTCTGAATTCAGTTTCCCCCTCTCGCGCGAAGCGCAGAAGCTTTGACGTTTCCTTAAATTATTAGAGAAAGAAGACGATTCGTCGTACTGTTCTCGACTCGTCTAAATGAAGTTTTCCCCTTCCGGGGTTTCATCACAATATAGAGAAAGGAAGACGATTCCTCATACCGTTTTCGAATCTTATTATTAAGCCCTATTCATCTGAATTCAGTTTCCCCCTCTCGCGCGAAGCACGAAAGCTTTGACGTTTCCTTAAATTATTAGAGAAAGAACACGATTCGTTGTAACGTTTTCGACTTTTAGTAAGCCCTATTTGTCTGAATTCAGTTTCCCACTTTCGCGCGAAGCGCGGAAGCTTTGACGTTTCCTTAAATTATTAGAGAAAGAACACGATTCGTTGTACCGTTCTCGATTCGTCTAAATGAAGTTTTCCCTTCTTTCCTCTTTTTGGCGTTTCATCACAATATAAAGAAAGGAAAAATGATTCGTCGTACCGTTGTTGACTCTTTAACCTTGTTTGAATTTAGTTTCCCCGAAAATTTTAAACCTCTGATTTCTTTAGCTGATATTATAGGAAAGTGAAACTTCGAGAAAATACAAGTATTGTAGTTGTAGTCACTCTCGAAGTCGTCACAGCGGATAAGAAGTCGCAGTTCGTAGGGAAAAAAACTTGTCGGCCGACCGACAATATACATCTCACCGACTTCAAACTTATGCATTGATGAGGATCGAGCAAGAATACCGACACAGCTGACCCGACACAGCAACATATTTACCCGTGTCTTTCTTGCTCCCTCGACAAGACGACTCCACCCAACAACCCCCTTTTCTCTTTTACTCCCACTCCTCCTCTCTCAGACTCTTACCTCCACTCTCTCTCCTCTCTTTCATCCCCCGTTTCTTTTGTTTCCCTTTCACTTCAAACTTATGCATTGATGAGGATCGAGCAAGAATACCGACACAGCTGACCCGACACAGCAACATATTTACCCGTGTCTTTCTTGCTCCCTCGACGAGACGACTCCACCCAACAACCCCCTTTTCTCTTTTACTCCCACTCCTCCTCTCTCAGACTCTTACCTCCCCTCTCTCTCCTCTCTTTCATCCCCCGTTTCTTTTGTTTCCCTTTCACTCTTTTTTCTTCTTTTTTCCTTTTCTTTCTTTTCTTTCTTTTCCTTTCTTTCCTCTCCCCCTCTTTTTCTTTTTTCTCTTTCTTTCTTCTCTTTTCTTTCCTTTCTTTTCCTTTCTTTCCTTTCTTTTCCTTTCTTTCTTTTCTTTCCCTTTTCTTTTTTTCTTTTCTTTCCCTTCCCCTCTCTTTTTTTCCCTCTCTTTTTTTCCCTCCCCCTTTTCTCTTTTCCCGACGGCAGCGCAATTTTACCGACAATATCCTGACAGGTGGGGGTGTCGCACCCCCCCACACCCCCCTTTGGCGACGCCCCTGCCCCCCCCCTTCTCCCTCTCTCCATAATTCCTTATTGATGTCCCAATTGAAAAAAGTTCTTGCTCTCCCATTATCATCCTCCCACTCTCTCTCTCTCTATCTGTCATTCTCATCACCCCCCTCTCTCTCTTGCTCTCTCTATCATTTTCCATCTGTCTCCTCCCCCCTTTTGCTCTTGCTCTCTCTCCAAATTCCTTATTGATGTCCCAATTGAAAATGTTCTTGCTCTCCCATTCTCATCCTCCCACTCTCTCTCTCTCTCTCCCTTCTCCAGCCCTCCCCGGGGGACACCTGAGGATGCTGTAGCAGAGAGGGCGGTGCAGCGATCCATCATGGAGTATTCACACTTTGACTGGACCAAGAAACCTCTTGCAGAGGAACGAAGAATGAGCAAGACTGAGATAATCACTGTGAGATTTAGGTAGCGATGGCAACGGATATGACAATATATGAATAACATCTTGAGCTATACATTTTTATTTCAAGTAAAATTAATATTGTTTCCGTTGTGACTGTCGACAAACAAAAAACAATATTTGAATTTCAAAAATGGATCCACCGCTACCCCAAGTTGTTTGTTAGAAACCTTATTGCCGTAAAGATGGTATACTGCAGCTGCAGCAATGGAAAAAGAATTAACCAAGAAAGGTCACTTCTGTTATTTCTGTGGTAAAAAGAAGAAATAGTGTATTAGCATAGTTCTCTATCTCCCAATTGGCATAGTGCAATTGCTTTAAAGCCCCACTGCACTACTTATAGCTACTTGCGCCCTCTATATAGCAAACAATGCCTAAGCGGTGACCGTTAGTTCCCCCATATGGTACCCTTTTTCTTATGTTAATTAGAGCTGATTTGATGAGATAGCCACCTGTCGGTGATCATGCAGGGAGGTCTAGTCCCTCCTGGCCAAACTAGTGCAAGGGTATGGTATTGATTTGAGGATGTACAAATACAAATTCAATTTTCTTAATGACATGTATGCGTCATTAAATACCCTTCTGAAAGGATCTGTATCTTATGTTTTTCCAGGGCTTTCCTTGTGTCACACCATAGGGGTGTTTCTCAAAGACTAAGATTGACTTTAAGTCTGACTTAACTATGGCAGGCTGTTCATGCCACCATTTTCTCTCATCACTCACTGGCATTGGTTTCTCAAGGGAAGTACCAATCGTGGTTGCAATTTCTTGCAAATCTAAAGAATTTACATTTTTCGAGTTCATTATTGAAGGAAGAAATATTATTTTTAAATTATAATTGGGAGACCAATAGTGAGAGCAACCAGTGGCATGAATGGCCTGCCATAGTTACAGTAAATCCGACTTAAAGTCGATCTTAGTCTTTGTGAAACACTCCCCTGTTCTAGTACTTGTTGTAGTTTGCTACATCAAGGAAAAGATATTGTGGTGTAGTTTCACGCAATATTACCATGGCTTAGCATGTAATTTTTGCTTAGTACAACTGAATTTGATTCCAACTGTGGGTTTAGTTACAAATGACATAGCACATTGTCTTAAAGGGATCCTTTAACAATGTTAAATCTGAGATACACAGCCTTACGTGTTATCAGTGTCTGTGATATGGTGTAATATTGAAGCCCTAAAAAAAATTGCGCTTCAAAATGATCAAGAAGTGCCTCAAAAAGTAAAAATCTTTGAGTGACCGGTTTTACCGTCAGGCGAATTATAATGAATATAATTAATATATAATAAATAATATATATAATGAATATTTTTCAAAATATGTAATTCCAATCGTAAATATCTTGATAATCAGACAGGCGATCGGCTTGTAAAAGTCATGGGGTTCCTGACTGACCTAAAGGTTTATAATTATCATTGCATCATGAGCTAAATCCAGAATTTTATTTCGGAATCTGAGACAAAGTTACCGGATCCCTTTAATAGAATCCAACAATATAAAGCATATTACGCTTTATGTCATTAAAAAATCACCTGGCAATTTGAAAGGGCATATGGGAAGAAGGCTATAATTAATCTTTTATATGTGTGCTACTTTAACAGTAAAACAAATCTCACTCTAACTTAAACAATTTAAAGAGAGCTTGTGAATATTCTGTTAAAGGTAATACAAAAGTTTTGGTATTGGTATTTGATTCGAATGAACATATTGGAAGCATATGCGATCCTACAATATTCAGTGATCGTTGTCGCGGTTGAAATCGAGTCTAAAGTGATGAAATTGTAAATAATTAACTCTTTATGTTGTATAGCTCCCTCTCAAGGTCAAGATATTAATTTAACTATAAAACAATGTTTCTGGACTATAATTGACCGATTGGCTATTCCCATTTGGAAATTATATATCACAACTACATATTCTGAGATTTTCATGGTCGCAGCTACTATTGTAAGGCCATAGGCGCTTTTTGAAATTTATCACAAAAACTTACCTGGAGCACCGGTAAATTTTGGTATTCAATTTTGTTTTAAAGCAGAAGTGTACTTGGGGCTAAATTTTCTAGTGCTAATAAAACATCCACATGGGAGTCGAAATATATCAAAATTGTAAAGAATCACTATCCAGCCAATTTTCAAAATTTCCCAAAACTTTGTATTACCTTTAATGAGATTGAACATGTCTATAATAAAGTACATTGTTTTCTTGAATTTATGATTTACGTCATAAAAAATAAAACCCTGGCAGTTTACTACGGCATATATAGGAAGAAGGCTACAATAAACCTTTCATGTATGTGCTATTCTTATCAGTGTAACAGATGTCACATTATTAAGAGTGCTTGTAAATATTTTGTAAATAAGATTGAAATTATGTATAATAAATTATTTTTGAAAGTGAAGCCATCTTATCAGAGAAATATTTTGTTCTTCATTGTGTCACCATTATTTTCCCCAAAACTTCTGTTTCCCTCTCTGTCTCCTTATATGTAAAGCATAAATCCCCTGTAAATATTGATCATCTTGTTACACGTGCTAAACAAATATCACCCCTCAGAAACGTTTGCACATACGTCAGCAGATGTTTGAATATTTTAATTAAAATAACAAACAAAAAGGTCATAAGTTTTGTTATTCTAATGAAAATATTCAAATATCAGAGGGTTGATATCTTTTAGTACCTGCAACAAAAAACTGCTCTCAATACTATATTACTCTAAAACAAGTCTAGGTGTTAATTGTGGCGTGCGCCTGTAATCCAGCTAACAGTGGAAGTTACAAACTGATTCAGGCGAGGACGCAGGTTCGAAACTGAGTCACGTCTTTCGGATTGTAATGTTTAAAGGTCGGTCCCCAGACGTAAATATTCATATCTGATTGATACACCCCCGTTTTTACGTCTGTAAAAACCCAATACACACGCCGGTGGGAGGAATGTCAACTACTACAATTTTGAAATTTGTTCTTTTAAAGTTAGTTATGATCATTGAGGACATAGTCAGGAGACTTTTCTTTTGAAACTGCAACTCCTTAAGAAACTTTCTTTTGTAATACTTTCTATGATAATACTTGATGTGCAACAACACTCTTTAGACTTGATCATTGCGTCATTGCCGCTGATCAATTTCTTTCCAATATGGTAAGTTTCGAACCGGGGTCACCTGAGCCAGTGTGTAGGCGTAGACAGAGCTAGAGCTGACCCAGTGGGTCAGATGTCGGGTATTGACTAGGAGGATGTAAGTTTATGAAGATGAGATATCTCATTTGTCGCACAGTTTGTTGAAAATTCCATCTCTTCTACTCAAACAACATGCATGCATATTCATTAGCATACGTTTGCGAGTATCTGAAGTCACGTGACGACCAATGACAAAACATATTCAAATAGCTTCTGATGAATATGGATGTCTTTAAGCTTGAAAAGTGGAGCGTTTTACTAACTGTGAAACAAAAATAATATCTAAAGTATATTTTTAGAACATGCATCTTGGTTGGTCTAGTAGTACGTGCACTTAGTTCGTTCTCTGGCTTCGCCTACAAACTTGCTCAGGCGACCCCGGCTTAAAACCGAGTCACGTCCTTCGGATGGTTGACGTTAAAGGTCGGTCCCCAGACGGAAATAATCATATCTCGTTGATGATACACGTCTGTAGAAGTCCAATTCGGACATGGGATGATCATGGTTATCATACAATTGTAAAAGGTCGCCTCTTTTTCCTGCGTTCGATTACTTCGTTTATTCTTCATTACTTACTATCAAAATTGTTTGAACATATCTGAGACAATATAAACTACAGGGAGAGAGGAAGAAGTGTGTATGAGAGAGAAAGAGAGAAAGAAATCTCATTGTGCTACTGTTTTTTAATTACATAATTTATAGCAATTTTTGTTACAGTTACTAAAAAGGCAGACCCCTCTCGCACAACTTTGCATATTCATTGCTTCCTCATCTGCATAACTTGTAATGTAGTAGATGATTGGTTGAATTACAAATACATGCTAGTGGAAAGGTATTGTTATTTTGACCAAAACATGCAAATATATGTTCGTCTATATGCCACCGTTTTGGAGGGGTGAGATTTTTTAGTAACTTTACACACAATATACAACAAAATATTATATTAAATTAGGTTTACCACAATTAATTAAAATGCAGTCACGCCTAAAAAGTTATGAGCTTTTAAGCACATTGTACAAAATAATGAGTGACTCTCTCTGGCACTCAGTAGATGAGGTGAATGCGAAGTGCCCCTATCCTGTAGCCTATCAAGTAATACTCAACAAGTCAGACATGAACTAGAGTTTCCATCTATGCAAATACATGTTTATGAACAAGAGAAAATATCTTCCGAGGAAGAGAATCAACAAGTTATGAAGGTCACATTCAATGATCAAATCTAATCAGTTTTGAACGAGAAGTCTCTTCAAAGAGTTTTCAATCTTAATCATCTTCAATGTTTGAAAATATCTGAGAGAATATTATCTTTATCTATATGGGTAATTGCTGTAGACCAACCCTCCCACCAGTTTACAATTTTTTGGTTATATATGGTTTACATATCATTTAAGTTTACCAGTTACTACATTTTGCCACCTCTTCTAATGGCATGCACATTTCGTCCCTGTTTTCACGAAGTGACGGTAGCGAGGAAAATCGTAACGCAAAGTGAATGCAATTTTTTTTCACCACCGTCACTTCGTGAAAACAGCGACGATTTATTCACAGATATTTGCATGTACCTCTAGCCATGTCCAATCATAAGCAAGAAAGAACAATGATGATAGATATACTGAACAGCAACGACCAATGATAGAAGATATTCAAATACAATTTGATGAATATGCAGCATTTACAAACCAGGGTTAGAGGTTTCACTAACTGTGCAACAAAAATGATATCCTATAATAATCTAGTCAAAATAGCCAGTTGGTGGGTGGGATGGCTTTACAGAGATTTGAGAAGGTTGATTCTTTCTAAACTATTTTGTATCTTT